GCATTGACTATCGTCAACTGAACAAGGTCACAATCAAGAATAGGTATCCCTTGCCTAGGATTGATGACTTGTTTGATCAGCTCCGAGGAGCGACGGTGTTTTCAAAGATCGACTTGAGGTCGGGGTACCACCAACTGAAGATAAAGGAGGATGACATACCGAAGAGTGCATTCCGCACAAGGTATGGTCATTTCGAGTTCCTAGTTATGTCATTCGGGCTAACCAACGCCCCGGCGGCATTTATGGACTTGATGAACCGAGTATTTCATAAATACTTGGACCGGTTTGTGATTGTGTTCATAGATGATATCTTGATTTACTCAAAGAGTGAAGAAGAGCATGAGGAGCACTTGATACTTGTTCTTGAGACACTACGGGAGAAGCAACTCTATGCCAAGTTTTTCAAATGTGAATTTTGGCTAAGGGAGATTGGCTTTCTCGGGCATGTGGTTTCAGGATCAGGGATTGTCGTAGATAACAAGAAGATTGAGGCCATTACTGAATGGGAGAGGCCAAAGAACGTCAAGGAAATTCGTAGCTTCCTTGGATTGGCGGGGTACTACCGAAAATTTGTGGAGAGGTTCTCAGTTTTGGCATCGCCATTGACAAAGCTCACTCGAAAGGGGGCCAAGTTCGTATGGGATGACCGATGTGAGAAGGGATTCCTTGAACTGAAGAAGAGATTGACCGAGGCACCGGTACTCGCACTACCCAAACAGGGTGTGAGGTACGATGTCTACAGCGACGCAAGCATCCAAGGGCTTGGATGTGTCTTGATGCAGAATGGGAGGGTGATTGCCTATGCTTCACGACAGTTGAAGAAGCATGAGGTAAATTATCCCACTCATGACTTAGAGCTGGGGGCAGTGGTGTTCTCATTGAAGATTTGGAGACATTATCTCTACGGGGAAACATGTCATATATACACCGACCACAAAAGCCTGAAGTACGTGTTTACTCAGAAAAAAGTTAAACATGAGACAGAGACGGTGGATGGAGTTGATAAAAGACTACCATCTAGTTATCGAGTACCACCCCGGTAAAGCCAACGTGGTAGCGGATGCCTTGAGCCGAAAGAATTCATCTGGGGCATTATTGACTAGCTTGAGGGCATTGAGAGCCCAATCGGAGGTATCTAGCGATGGTGCCTTGTTAGCAAGATTCGAGGCGAGACCTACATTACTTGATGAAATCAAGAAAGGTCAAGAAACCGACGAAGAACTTATGAGGATCCGTGAACGCATGCTAGCGGGACCGGTTGAGGATTTCAGGGAGAGAGACGATGGTCTCTTATTATTTCGTGACCGAGTGTGTGTACCGTTGGATGACGAGCTCCGAAAGTCCATCTTAGAGGAGGCTCATTCATCGGCGTATGCCATGCACCCGGGAGGCACGAAGATGTACCGTGATTTGAAGGAAAACTACTGGTGGTCGGGTATGAAGAGGGAAATAGCCGAGTACATCAGCAGGTGTCTTACTTGTCAGCAAGTTAAGGCAGAACATCAGCATCCGGCTGGGTTACTACAGCCACTTTCCATTCCTGAATGGAAGTGGGAGCACGTGACTATGGATTTCGTGGTAGGGCTGCCACGGACGATTAAGAACTATGACGCCGTATGGGTTGTGGTTGATAGGCTCATGAAGAGTGCACACTTTTTACCTATCAACACCACCTATGCACTGGAAAGGTTAGCCAAGTTGTATGTGGATGAGATCGTGAGGCTGCATGGGGTTCCTATAACCATTGTATCCGATAGAGATCCGCGATTCACATCACGATTTTGGCCGAAGTTCCAAGAATCTATGGGGACAAAACTGAAATTCAGTACAGCTTTCCATCCGCAAACGGATGGACAATCCGAGCGGGTTATACAGATATTAGAGGATATGCTGAGAGCTTGTGCATTGGAGTTCCAAGGGAGTTGGGACAACCATTTGGCACTTGTGGAGTTTGCCTATAACAACAGTTATCAGGCGAGTATAGGCATGCCTCCATACGAGGCATTGTATGGGAGGAGATTTCGTACACCTTTGTGTTGGGATGAGGTTGGCATGGCCAAACTCGAGAGCACGGAACTGGTGGAAATCACCAAGTCAAAGGTAAAGACGATTCGTGACAGACTTAAGGCGGCACAGGATAGACAGAAGAGCTATGCCGATAAGCGCCGAAGAGCCTTAGAGTTTAAGGTTGGGAATGAGGTATTTTTGAAAGTTTCACCTTGGAAAGGAATAATCCGATTTCAGAGTCGAGGGAAACTCAACCCACGCTACATAGGGCCATTTGTAATTCTTGAGAGAATTGGGGCCGTAGCATACCGATTACAGTTGACTCCGGAATTGGAGAAAATACATAATGTATTCCATGTGTCTATGCTTAAGAAGTATATTCCGGATCCATCTCATGTACTAGAGAAACCACCCGTGGAAATACGGGAAGACTTGAACTACGTCGTGCAACCGGTAAGGATACTTGATAAACAAGTAAAGAAGCTAAGAAGCAAGAAAGTTCCAATGGTTAAAATCCTTTGGAAAAGTGACCGAGTTGAAGAAGAAACTTGGGAGACTGAAGCCTCGATGAAGGAGCAGTATGCATTTCTGTTTGAATAATCGATTGTGAATTTCGGGGACGAAATTCCCGTTAAGGGGGGGTGAATTTGTAACACCGACCCCGAGCATATTTACTTTTAGTAAATTATGTAATAAACCTTGAAAGATGATTTATGAATTTAATTAGAGTTGGACTCTAGGATGACATGGAGATGTAGTTAGGCCGAGCCCATGCCATGTAATATGATTAGCATGGAAATGTAGTTGGGCCGAGCCCTTGCCATGTATATGTGACCTCCGTGGAAACGTAGTTGGGCCGAGCCCTTGCCACGAAGTTATGGTTGGTATGGAAACGTAGTTGGGCCGAGCCCTTGCCATACAAATTTTGATATGATATATTGAGCTAGAGGATTGTATAGAGATGTAGTTGGGCCGAGCCCATGCTATACAATTGGGGCTCGATGGGACCCCACGGGGTTATCGTGACTTGCGGTCACGGGGGGATGGAAACGATGAATTCTAAATGAATATGGGCCTGCGGGCCGACTACTTGACTTTATGTAAAGTAAGTGCAGTTAAAAGTAAAAAGGGTAACCGAGGGTTATGGCCTATAATATAATAGTACCCTAAGTTGAGGGTCTTGGAAATTAAAACGTTGATTATACTTAGTATAGTTGCTATTGTACTTGTCAAATATTTCCAAGTACTGACCTCCCCTTCACGGGGGAGGCCACCTCACAGTTTCAGGTAGAACTTGAAGGTTGCTACCATCGCTCGTGGCTTCGGGAGGATCCAGGGGAGAAGACGTGGTTCGTGCTTCTTCCGTTCTGTTTTAAAAACCATTACGTTAATGCTCATGGATATTACTTTTGAATAATTACTTTGGGGGCTTGTATGCCGAGTTATGCCCAGTGTGGCTTGAACAATTGTATTTATGCTTCCGCTGTTTTGAATGAATGATTTACATTATGTTTGTTTATGAATGTACTATGTGTGAATGATATTCATGACGCCTTGTATAGTATGGATGAGTCGGACTGCGGTTGACTATTCGTACTGTACGGCGGGTTGTTGACGTGTCCGGCTAGGTCCGGGGCGTGACATCTGCAGCGTTTCAGGTTATCTCATCCGGAGGAAAGAGTATTCGGGCCATATCTAAAGAATGCCATCCAGTTTCATAACAAATATAACATAGCAATATCTGCTGCAATTGGGATCCCGTCAAAGAATTTCAATTGTTAATGTACTTTTTCATTTTTCTTTCACTGTTCTTTCTCTTTAATCTCATCAAATGTAATTTCATATCATTTGTACTCGCAACTTTATTTTAATAGATTAGGGAGGTGTTCCCTGGCACCCCCTCCACGTAGTGTGGATTAAGCAGGGAAAAAATAAATAAATAAATAACACAAATACAAGGATACGGAGCTAATGCAATTGAACTGAATGTAGGAAGGAAAAATTTTGTTCTAAGATTGTGAGTGAACTGAATGTAGGAAGAAAAAATTTTGTAGAATTGTGAGTGCCATGTAATCAAGTTTTTTAGTATGTCTAAGAATGGTCTATGTGCCAAGAGAATACGTACATGTCTTCCGCCAAGAGAATATAGAGCTCTATGCATGGAGTATAAGCTCATTACGATAATCTACGGTGTGTCGATACTTTATCATATACGTATTGTGTTTGTATCTGTAATTTAATAAAAGTATTGAACTTATTTTTAAAAATATAAATACCTCTAATACTCGTATCCATGAACCGATATGGGTATCTAACCCTATTACCCTAATTTCATACACAACATGACAAAAAATTTAGTAGCACCCCAAGCGATCACATGATGTGGATAATGGGTAAAGATGATTTCGGTAGTATGGAAAATATTGAAATACCATAAATTGTCAATTTGTCGTTTGATGATCTTTAATTGAAATCAATCTTGTTAAAAGACTCAGATGTAAACGCAAATAGAAAACCAAAAATATTACTCCCTCCGTCCCCTTTTAAATGTCTCGAAAGAGGGTGGCACGAGTTTTAAGAAAAGTAAATTTGTGTGGTTGATATTAATAGATAAAGTAAGAATAAAGTAAGAATGATTTTGAACCACACAAACTTTACCAAATAAGGTATGTGACAATTAAATAGGGACATCCCAATATGGTAATATGGGACATTTAAAAGGGGACGGAGGGAGTATTTAAATTTAAATCAAAATATCAATACTTTAGTTGTTTTAGTCTAATCTTTGAAATTTTATTATAATTGTTAATTTTGGTACTATTATTATTTTATTTATGAACTGATTTATATATATTTGCAAACTGTAACCCTTATTATTATTATTATTATTATTTATAAACATACCCCATACTCGTATCTTATAATTTTTGAAGTTGTCGTATCATCGTACCCGTATTCGGGTATTGGCGTGTCGGCATATCTGTATCCGTGCAACATAGATGACAACTACACCACTCACTAGTGCTTAGAAAATCTCAACAGGATGTTTACATACTTCTTGAGCTCAATTCATGGAAAGTGATGACCTAACACAATCTTGAGCTCAATTCATGGAAAGTGATGACCTAACACAATCTTAGATGACAACATAGATAGTATTTAATACCATAAACTACATGGAAAGTGATGACCTAACACAATCTTGAGCTCAATTCTGACATAAATGAAGTTACCAAATAGAGTAAATTATCCAAAAGAATCTGAACAAGTTAAACATAACCAAACACATCCTCTATTCTTTTCTGAGAAAACAATGTACAGTTAGCCTGCGTCTAGGACTGCGTTTGAGCAAATCGGATAGTAGCAAGAGGGGACGCACGGCGATAACTAAGCAAATCAATCAGCGCCTTAAGTTGTCTATCCGCAATGCAGAAACTTGGGGTAACCGTCACTGATTCAAGAACTGGGGAATGAGCTAGCAAGAACTTGATAAAAGCCATTTCATGCAACATGGCGAAAAAATCAGTCATCTTCACAAATTTTAGTTTTTTGAATTCGCAATTAGCTGGCAACCATTTCTCCCAAATTTGCAAATCCTCATAGTCAGTTGTTGTGTATGTGGAACCCTAATGAAGAGAAAACAGAAATGAAAATCCTTTTCAAAAAGTGATAATCAATTTCTTTCAATTACAAAAAATGTTTCAATGTGATTTTAAATATATTGTTCACTTTCTTTATGAATTCTTTTTGAAAAGTGTTTTTGATAAAAACATTATTATTGATTTCTAAATGTATGAAAAGGTAGAAAAACAGAAATGAGATGTATATGACATAGCAACTTATAATTCTACTAATTTTTCATTTACTAGTTTGCAAAATGAATAATTATTTGTGAAGAATATGCATTTAAAGGAAGTGCCATAAAAAAATAAATGTTTACCATTGCTTACCGATATATGAAGCTGCTCTAGATTAGGGGAGCCCGAAATAAGGCGAAGAACGACAAGTATCTCATCCAAATCTTCAAAACTAACTTGATGTAGTTCAATAACTTTGAGATGGTGGTGAATCATACGTTTGCTTTCTCTGTCATTCCCTATACTGAGATACTAAAAGAAAGGGAGGAGGGACAAGGAGTAGATAAGATTAATAGGCAACCTACTCATACATATACTCCGTATATGTTATGAAAAGGAATGAAGAAAGCTTTGTTAGCACGTCTAAGATGTTAATTCAACTTTTGATCTCTTGTATGTGGATATGTCAGATGCTGCCACATCAGTAATTCTACCTGGTCCTTTAGCTTAGCTAGTAATTCAACGAATTTTGGTCCTTCGACTTTTAAGTTTTTTACCAAATCTAGTCCAACATACCCTTGTATAAAGGTCTAAATTTATTGAACTGCGTGATCTTTAGATATTTTGGACTGAATTTGGTACATTTTTAAAACCCAAAGGACCAAAAGTGAAACCAACTCCCCGCCTATACTCATACAACAACATCCCACATATACTCATAAATCATAATACCTATAAAATCCCATTTTGATTCCACAACTATTAGTGCAATCCCACTTGTGATCCCTGGTTTTCACTCTTTTCACTTTTGGTGCATGACTACATATTTCCTACAACTCTTAATCCTATCTGGTCATTATTCTGGCAAAAATCACCGGAATTTGGTTGGAAAAATTACCTGAAGGAACACAAGTGGAAAGAAATGTATATTTGTGCATCAAAAGTGAAACAAATTCATGAAGGCATGTATGAAACCAAATAGTGAAAATGACCAAATAGTTGGGAACTAAAGGTTAAAAAACTTCTATCCATAACTCATCACCAAAATAATGAATTTACCTTTGTGAAGTATATATGCCCAGTAAGCTGTTCGAGATTAGGGACATTACCAAGAAACTTCTCGAAATTGCAACCAGAGCTTTGTTCAAAGTGCTCTGCATTATCGTCAGTCATGTACATGGCAACAGATACAGTAACCAAATTTGGGGTATTTTCAAGGAATATCTCCTTAAACTCTCCTTCCAAATTTAAATATCTTAGCTTCGGTGCCCGAATAGTGAGCTCAAAACTATCAAAGTATGACAAGGTCAAATTTTCGAGAAGAGAGCAACTAGAGATGAGGTTTTCAATGTCACACGGAGGCATAATAGCTTGTTGAAGATTTAGATGCTTTAAACATGAAAACCCTTTAAAATTCAAAGGAGGGTTCAACTCACACCGAATTAGCTCCAAGTGAGTCAACTTCTGAAATGAGAAGAGATAAGAAGGGGCCCTAAACCACTCGGGTTCCCCTAACTCAATACTCAATTCTTTTACATCTTTCCTGGAAAGGAAAAGAAGCCACTGATCTATATAGGGCTTGCTCGAAAGATATTTACTGGATAATGCAAATTTATGAATGGGACCATCGTGAAGCAACAAAAATCGGGTAACAAAGTGTACCAGAGTCCTCTCAACAACCGATTGGTCACAGCAAATAGGTATAACACACATGTCATCGAAAACAAGTTCGGTAATGCTAGACCACTTATACCTCCATTTGCTTGATAATGCGCTGGTTATTACAGCGTCCCTTAATGGAAGCTTTACTAGGATGGTCTCAATGATGCTTTGAGGCAAATCACTTATGAAATCCCTCTCCAAATCCATCAACAACGTTTTTCATTCACCTGCAACAGAATTGAAACAAATCAATACAGTAATCTAATAGTTCAAATTGGTACAAAATCGTGCGATACAGTAATCTGAGTTCTAGTATATCTGTATATCCAACGCAGAGCATAAATCCATACCGCAATTCATAGAAAATTCAATAGTTTATCCAATTTAACGAAAAACCCCTTCAAATTATTGTTCAGTGTTTTACGCCGAGGGACTAAATCATAAAAATTGAAACTTGATACGAGACCAGGAGGGGAAAACAGATGAACTTGATTGAAGTAGCAGATTAAAAAGCCAGTAGAAGAGAAACACATTACCAGCGGTTTAAGAAAAGAAAATGTGATTTCCCTCATATGCCAGGTGGAGGAAGAGGGTGTTCAGAAGAGCAGAAGCCGATGGAGGTATGGTGCGCGACGCTCTACGGTGCGGCTGACTTGTCCAACTCCCCTCCACTCCGTTCCGAATGCTTTTGCCGGTTGGCTGACTTTAAACCGGTTTGGTTAGAGGATCTGAGGCATAATTTTGTATAACTACGTTACTTGTGTTATAAAATGGAAGAAAATAAGCACAAGATGGGGGAGAGAAAATATAGTATGAACACTTAGTGATAGAGGTGTATTAGAGATGTTCTAATAGTCTCTATCACTAAGTGTTCATACTATATTTTCTCTTCCTGATCTTCTGATTATTTACTTCCATATTATAACTTGTTATCACCACGAATTTGCTCCAAATCCCTGAAATCATCATCTTCCCAGCAGGTATATATTTTTTCAGGAATTTATCAATTTATCTGGAAAAAAAAATCAGAGGTTGAGAAGTATAAACATGCATAGATATATTCAAAACTATAAGAAGTATGCTCTCTGGTTGCCCAACCATTGGGATCCTCCATATCAGAAAATTATAGCTATATTTTCTCTAAAAATTGAAGAAGATAGAAGAAAGATAATGGCTTTTGCTTTATTTTGGGGAGTAGCTGAATTATTATACTATATTTTATCTCTCTGATCTTCTGCTTATTTCCTTCCATTTTATAACACGTTATCAGTACGAATTTGCTCTGAATCCTTGAAATCATCATCTTCCTAACAGGTATATATTTCAACGAATTTATCAATTCATCTGGAAAAAAAAATCAGAGGTTGATAAGTATGTACATTTTTGGATATATATATATATGAAAAACTATAAGAAGTATGCTCTATGGTTACCCAATTGTTGGGATCCTCCATATCAGAAAATTATAGCTATTTTTCTGTAAAAGAAGATAGAAGAAAGTACATACCTTTATAGTAATATGTTCTGGAAATGAAATTTGCTCTTCTTGAATAAACCATTTGCTCTTTATAAACCTGTAGGCTATTTTCCCCCGAAGAATGTATACAAATCCTTCTACTCTAGAAATTTATTAGAGTAGTAAAATATAAGAGGAAAAGTACTATGTGAACTGTTTTTCGCAGAAGTCACATGTTTATATAATACAAGCAAATGGTAATATATCACATATATGTATAGTATGGGTGCATCCTACTTCACATGTACTCATATTATTTAAAAATAAAATACTCCGTAAATGAATAGCTTGAAAGTAATAATAAAAAAAAGGGATTCACGGGTTTGCATGTTTCTAATATTTGGCAGACAACCAAACTGCCATCTTGTTTCTATTCTTAGCAATAAACTCACGCATTTTTAAAAAGAAATAAGAAGAGAAGAGAAGAGAAGAGATGTAAACTACAAAGAAGAAGAAAGTATGTAGCAGTGAGAAGAATAAATATAAATAAACATTATTGAAAAAGGGGAGAGAACTCAAGAGGACAATGAATTTAATGCTAAGAGTTGTACACTCAATGATTATACCACTTCCATTTTTTTGTACTTCACGTGAGCTTGCTCCCCTTTCATCAAAGTCTAAATTATTTTGAAAGTTTCAAAAGACAATGAATTTAATGCTATGAGTTGTACACTGAAATTAAACAAGAATGCAGTCTTGATGTTTCACGTGATTTCTTTTAGAATTATTACTCTTTTATATTAACTAAATCTCTGTGAATGAGCAACAAGTTTTTTGTTTGTTTGATAAGGCAAGTCACCTACGATAAAAATTGATTTTACACGTACCTATCAATCTATATATATACTACTATATGTATATTTTACTATGTGATAGTGAATATGTGATAAGATTGCACTGCATAATTAAAATACATGTGACAATTTCTCACTATTTCGGTACTAATATACGTACATACGGACATACCTATATTAGTAGTTATTAATGATATAGATTTAATACTGATTATAGATTACTACATCTACTCATACAAACTACGTAATAAAAGTGATGCATATAATTATTGTTATCGTACGTAGTAGTTATTAATATAGTATTTATTACATAAACATATTATGTGTATCCAATCATATTATCTATACAAACCATTAATTAATTAATTTTAAATTAATTATGATGTAGTTCATCCATGGCTAATATTAGCAAAAGAGAGTTCGACGTCATTTATTTATCTGGTCAAAAGTACTTGGAATGGAAAGTGACACTTTGGCACATTTAAAATCAAATGCCCTCGAAAACACAATTGCTGAAAATAATTCAACTACTCCCCAAAATAAGGCAAAAGCCATTATCTTTGTTCGTCACCATCTTCACGAAAGTTTGAAGTCAGAGTATTTATTGGTAGATGACCCTAAAGAATTATGGGATAATCTCCAAGAAAGGTATGGCCATCAACAAAAGGTTCTTTTACCAAAAGCTCAATATGACTGGATCAATTTACGATTCCAGGATTACAAATCTATAAGTGACTACAATTCTGCCTTGTTCCAAATAACATCAAAACTGAAGTTATGCGGACAAAAAGTCACTAATGCTGAAATGTTGGAAAAACTCTATCCACTATGCATCTTTCAAATATGCTTTTACAAGAGCAATATAGACAAAAGCACTTTCAAAAGTATTCTGATTTAATATCAGTATTACTACTTGCTGAGACGAATAATGACATTTTGATGAGAAACCACAATAAGACCCACGGGTTGTAGCCCTTTTAGTTTTGGTCCACAAAATCATGGTTCAAATCATGAATCAAATGCAACCCATAGTGGTGCTCGTGGACATTTCAAATGTGGTCGTGGTATTGGTCGTTATAATAGACCTAGCCGGGAAACAAACAGAGTAGTAGCTCATTTTACAAAGGCAAGGGAAAGCAAAATCCCCATCAAACAAAAGGCCCGACGAAATCTTCAGAAAAGGCCAAAGTCACTTGTTTTAAATGTGGCACATCGGGACATTGGGCAAATAAGTGTTCATACTATACTTTCTCTCCCTGATCTTCTGATTATTAACTTCCATATTATAACAACTTGCATTTTTTTGAGGAAAGAGTTTTATTAAGAAATGATGGCCCAAATATCACTTCAATTTTTTATTGGATAAAAATATGACTGAGTTAAGTGTGGACATAAAACTGATTGAACCGTTTAATCCGCTTCCGTTCTTTCATTAGTGCGCTCAAAGACGAAACTTCTCCTCTTCCGTTCTTTCGTTACTGCGCTCAAAGACCAGGGAACTCCCCATGGAGCAGATCAACGCATCAGATCGCAGAGACGGAGTACGAGGATTGACGCTTCCTCCACTACCTTGGCCGCCGTCATCTTCGTCTCCCTCCGCTGATAGATGAACGGATCGTCGTCGTCGTCCTCGCACCGGTCTTCGTCGTCGCCACCTTGCCCTACGAATGGTGTACCGGGTTGGGGCTAGATCAGAGTTGGGGAGGGGTGGATCGGGGGTTGGACCGGTCGAAGCTGGAGCAGGGTAGGGTGGCTGAAGGTAGGTCAGGGGGAGGGCAGGGGCGTGGGGATGGGGCAGTATGCAGTGGGTGGCGGTGATTGGTGGTGTCGGCGGTGTCGGGTATCACTAGACAATGGTGGTGTCATTGTAGCGGCGTCATTGTGGTGGAATCACTGTGGCAGATGGCGTTGATCAGTCAGGATGGCGCCAGCAGTTACACCGGTGATGCGGCGGCAGTGACATGGTGATGACGGCAGTGACATCCGATAGTGACATGAAAATTAGATCCAGTGACACAAGTATTTCATAGTCACTTTATATTTTCCCATATATAACCATTCAGGATAAAACCTTTTTTATTAATAAAGGAGAAATGGAAATACAACTAAGAAACATGGAAAAAAGAAAATAAGGGATTGAGAAAAATATAATGGAGAGAAAGCTCCACCAATTAGCTAATTACCCTTGTAGTTTGACTGGCCACATAAATATTTGTAACAAAATTAAAATGTACTCCAATAGTTATCTATAACATCTTCCTCTTCATTTATTAATAATAGTGTTATACGTTGTAAAATAATAGAAAAGGTTACCCTAATGAGGGCCCTGACAGATATATTTATAATAAAATATGAGTTTTCAAAATACATAAGATTCCTAATATAGATAAACTATTACAACCCCTCAAACTGTGTGGGAGATACAACGCGCAAGTTGTCTTTTAAAACATGAAATTGTTGACTAGATAAACTTTTAGTAAAAATATCAACCAACTATAAGTGGGTAGGAATATACTTCACAAAAAGGTCGCCATGAGCCACACGCTCTCGAACAAAATGATACTCAATCTGAATTTGCTTGCTCCATGCATGCTGAACAGGATTAGCAGTCAAATAAGAAACAGAAATATTATCACAGAAAAGTTGAATAGGTACTCAAACCGGGAAGCCAAGCTCGTAGAGAATAGAACAAATGTGATACGTGTCCTGTACAGTGTAGGCAATAGCTCAATATTTTGCTTCTGTGGAGGATTTGGAGACAGTAGGTTGCTTTTTAGACTTCCAATAGACAAGATTTGGGCCTAAAAACTGCAAACCTAGTGGTGGAGCGTGAGGTATCAGGGTACCCAGTCCAAGTTGCATCTGAGTAAGCAATTACACAAGTGGCTTGTGTAGAAGGACGGAGCCACAAGTCATGATCAAGTGTGCCTTGCAAATATCTAAAAATCCTCTTGACTGCAGCAAACAAGTGAGTAGTACGAGGGGCATGCATAAATTGAGACACTAAATGCACAGCATAAGTAATATCAGGTCGTGTCAAAGTTAAATACTGTAATGCACCAATCATATTGCGGTATTCAGTGGCATCTGCCAAAAGTTCATCATCAGTGAGAGATAGGGTAGTGCGAGTGGCAAGAGGGGTACGAAAAGATTTGAGAGTATGTAGGTGAAAACGGAACATAAGATCTGAAACATATTTATGTTGGGATAAAAAGAGACCTTTGGAGGTGCGTTGAGCATGAACACCTAGAGAAAAGTGAAGATCGCCTAAATCTTTCATGGCAAAATGCTTGGAAATTACATGAATGAAGGAGGTGACAATAGAGGAGGAATTACCAGTAATAATAATGTCATCCACATATAATAATAAATAAATTAAACAATTATGCGAG